TTTTTTACTTAACACTTACTTCTACAAACTTCTTCCATTGGCTATCCTATTTCTCCACCCCAAAGCCACTATAATCACCGTTTTCGTAGGATAAAATGCCGGGACTATGAGTTATAGGAGATGTGCCATATTAACTAATTTTACCCTTCTAACTACTGCCAATAGTTGACCAGTTTTAATACTTTAAGTTAAGTCTTATTTGCCAAGGCATGATAAAATGGTCTACTTCAATATACAAATGTCGGTTTTAATGCAATTATTCTGTAAAAGGAGGGCCTTATGATTGTCTGGCTTAAGCCTCTCGATATTAGTATGTGGCAGTCTAGCGACCTCTGTCTACGTAAATTTAAATTTGTCATAGTAGCTGTTGATCCACAAGATGTTTATTATACCTCGGCATAATACCCGATTGTAAAAATGCAGGTTTCTTGAAATTCCTGAAAAATAGAAGTGCTTATAAGGAGGCACGTGGCAAGGCTGTAATAGTCCCGGCGAACAGGAACAATCACCCGGTTACTCTGACGATGGAACCGAGAGAGTGTCTGAAACGTCAATCTCAAAATAAATCGGTCCATGTCCTCGTACCTGGGGAAAACGATAGGAGGTTGTCTATTTTAACGTTCCTGAGGTCCAACTTACCGTTTTGGAGTAAGATTAGAATAGTCCGTGACGCAAAGCACTGGGCACAGTTTAAATTGATATGCAGCCGCGGAAAACAAATTAAACTATATTTTCAATTTTACGGCTACTTCTACAAAGCTTATTCACTGCCCATCTTAATTCCCCACCCCAAAGCACCTATGTTTATGGCAAAAAGTTGGGACTAGTGGTACATGAGCTGCAGTACTTAAATTACCCTTTACCCTCTCACCTACTGACACAGTGGAGACTATGCTCCGCAAGCTTAAACGAAGATCTCGCCAGCCGATTCGCAACACCCGCCTTTATTGCAATCAGCACGCAACTGTTCTTGTTTATTCAGGCAATATTTTGAATCTGAACATGACATCTGTCAGCTACGTCCCACTCGCTAGTGGGTCCACGGTAATTTATTGTACAGTGGGCGCCGTTGATCATGCAATATTTTGACATATGCGAAAGACTAATACTCTTTTGCTAATCGGAATTGACTCTAGTCGTGATACTGATTATTATGTAGTCTATTCTGAAGTCATTTCAGTCAGGATAGAATGCCGGCTTGTTAACGATCTTCGTTTCGACCATTAGAAAAACGTATCTTTTGTAAAAACTGACTACTTAAATAGTATGCCTTTTTATCATTGATTTTGACT